TTTAAGTCAATCTAAAGAAAATGCAGCATTGGAATGCTGCTTTAGAAAAATAAAGGTGAGGCTTGAATGGCTAGAGGGTGGGAACACCAGCCTACACCATGACTTATTTCAAATGCAGGCAAACAGGTTTAAATAAGGAGTAATTTGGGGAGAAATCTGGGATGAATTTATAAAAATAAAACTCTCTACCTAAAGCAGTATATGGAGGTTGAGAAAGTTTTTTGGCTAATGGTATAAAGTTTCTTTTTGTTGAATCAGGAAACAATAATTCCTTGGTTTATGTGACTGTTTCAGATATATCTCACATTATCGGAGCTCCCCAACTCAACTGATAGATCGTCACTGCAAAGTTCATGTGTCTATTCTGCTGTATTCCTATGATGTTAGGATCATTGTGTCAGTTTACCAGTGAGAAAAATGGGCTCAGAGAGATGAGGAAATTGCCCAAAGTCACCCATATATACAGTGAGGGATAGGGTGGGAAAGAACCCCTACTCTTTCCCAGCACCACACTTGCCTTCCTCACCTGTGACTACCTGCTGAGAAAGAGGGGTAGAGAAGCAAGGACAGGTCATGCAAGCATCAGGATTATCAAGTTTTAGCATTGGTGTTAATGGGTAATGTTATACCTAAACTAACTGTAATTAACAACCCATCAGTATCAGTCATGAGAGTCAGCTCCTCAATGGCAGGGACTGGTCTTCATGCGTCTTGGTGTCCCAGAGCTGAGCACAGGCTTAGAAGGCTCTTGCATGATTGTTGAATGAATGGCACTAGGGACAAGAAAATTTCTAGATGCAGCACCACTTGTAGAAGCACCACTCCAGCACCACTCCAGCACCACTTGGAGAGTACCACTTGGAGAGTAAAACCAGCACCACTTGGAGAGTAAAACCAGGAAAGCAGTGCAGTTTAGATGATTCACAGTTAATGTTTCTGCATTATGGACGGCAGCACAGGAATGGCTACAGATCTAAAGGAATTCACAGGCCAAAACAGCTTTTTGGTTGATTTTGTATAAAGGTCATACTAGAGACCAATATCACTTATGATTGCAGATGCATAAATCCTCAACAAAATACTAGCAAACCAAAACCAACTACATATTAAAAATATTACACATATGTGGAGATTTCTTGGCCTACTAAACATAGAGCTTCCATATGATCCAGCAATTCCACTCCTAGGTATTTACCCAAAGGACACAGAAACATCAATTCCAAAGAGCACCTGCACCCCTATGTTTATAGCAGCACTATTTACAATAGCTAAGCTTTGGAAACAGCCCAAATGCCCAAAAATAGATGACTGGATCAAGAAGATGTGGTACATATACACCATAGACTATTACTCAGCATTCAAAAAAGATAAACACATGCAATTTGCAGCAACATGGATGGCGCTGGAAGGGATCATGCTCAGTGAAATAAGCCAGAAAGAAAAAGAAAAATACCGGATGGTATCACTCATAGCAGGAATCTAGAAATCTTAAATAAGGGACCAGGAAAAAGAACAACTATAAGAAAGTAAAAATCAAAATCAACAAACAACTATGAACCAGAGACACTCTATGGGGGTGTGGGGGGCAGGGAGGGGAGGGATTGGGGTCAAAATAATGGGGTCGCAATTGTATGGGGAATATAAAAATAAAATTTATAATTAAAAAAATTTTTTAAAAATTAAAAAAAAAAGGGAAAAAAAAAACAAGAAATGGAAACCTGAATTAAAAGGAAATGGAAGAGTCGCAGGAGAAACTTTAGAATGAAAGAGATTTAGGGGCCTCCCTGGTGGTACAGCGGTTGAGCTCTGGGTTGTGAAGCTGCCCGCAGCCTCTGCAGCACCGGTTCAATTGGGTCCCACATGGCGCACAGACCTCTCTTGGTGCCCACTGCTCCCCTCAGCAGTGTACTTCATCAGTTTGCCTGTTCTGTTCCCCACTCTGGCTCTGGTGAATTCTCTCACCCACCTGCGCTTCTGACTATACCCTTGTGCTTGTATAGATAAATAAACAAATAAAAAACCTTAAAAAAAAAAAAAAAAAAAAATATTACACATATGATGTCTGGACAACTTGATATCCACATGCAAATGCATAAAATCGAGCTCCTACTTCACACCTTATATAAAAATGAACTCCAAATGGATCAACAGGTGAAAGAAAAAGACTCTTAGGGAAAAAATAAAGGGTTAATCCACAGCAACCCTAATCCATAACAATAGGTTCTGAGGTATGACACCAAAAGCACAAGCAACAACAACAACAGAATAGATATTAGACTTCCTCAAATTAAAAAGTTTTGTACATAAAAGAACATTATCAACAAAATGAAAACACAATTGGCAATATGAGAAAAAATATTACAAATCATATATCTTAAAAGGGTCTAGTATCCAGAATATATAAAGACTTCTTATAACTCAACAACAAAAAGACAAAACCCCAGTTTTTTAATGGGCAAGGGATTTGAATAGACATATAAAGAAAAAAATACATATGACCAACAAGCAGATAAAAAGATGTTTCACATCATTAGCCACCAGGGAAAAAAATAAAATCCACAATGAGATATCATTTCATAAACCTTCACTTTGCTTCTTTTAAAGTTTCAAAAAAATAGTTTTCATTCAATAATATTTAAGGAGAAAGATTTTTTCTGATGAAATTTGAACTCCATAATGTTATGTTCGTATTCAGTCCAGTATTAACTCTTGCTCAAGCAAAAACATTAAGGTTTAAAGTCACATTAAAGTGAAACATTACTTTCAGGAAAAAAAAAGAGAGCTATCATTTCACAGCCACTTTTTTAAAAAAGAAAAGAGCAAATGATGGCAAGGATGTGGGAAAACTGGAAGCCTTATATGCTATTGGTGGGAATTTTAGAGGTACAGCTGTCATGGAAAATAGTTGTGCAGTTCCTCAAAGGTCAAACATAAAATTACATTCCTTGAAATAGAACCAAAAGAACCGAATACAGTTACTCAAAAACATACTCGTATAAGAATGTTTATAGTGGTTTTATTCACAACAGCCAAAAGATAGAAGTAACCCAATGTCTCTTATAAAGAAAAAATGTTATACAAACACTCAGAAAAAAATGCATATGACTCAGTCTTAAAGAGGAATGAAGTGCTGACACATTTTACCACAGGGATAAACAACAAACGTTAAGCTAAGTGGAAGGAAACCACAAACTGTATGATTCTATCTATATTAAATGTTAGAATAGGTAAATCCAAAGAGACAGAATGAAAATTAGCAGCTGCTGGGACTTGGGGGCTGGGCTGATAAGAAGTAACTGCTTAGTGTGCATAAGGATTTCCTTTGCGGAGGTAGCACTAGACGGAGGTAGTCTTTCCATGACATTGTGAAGGCACTAAATACCACTGAATTGTACACTTTTAAAACAGTTAATTTTGTGTATTTCATTTCAGCTAAAAAAGAAAAAGCAGGACCTCCCTGATGGCATAAGGATTAAAGACAGCACTATCAGACCATCGCTAGCCACTGCAGCACAAGTTAGGGAGCAACCCACATGGTGCAGCAGACCTCTCCTGTCTCACCCACCCCCTGCTCCCTCAGCAGTGTATTTCAGTAGATCCTCCCTGCTCTGCTCCCCACTCTGTCTCTGGTGAATCCTTTCTTTCTCTCTCTCTCTCTCTCTCTCTCTCTCTCTCTCTCTCTCACACACACACACACACACACACACACACACACCACCTCAGGCTTACACCCCAGTTCTTGTGTGCATAAATAAATATGTCTTAAAAAAAAAAAAGAAAGAAAGAAAAAGCACCCTACTGTATGGTCTCCCCAGGCTGTCTGTCTTTATATCTCAGGCCTCAGCAGTTGCTCCTGGAAACAAAGAAAATATCAGACAGGCTTTGGCTGGGCTGCCAGGGCAGTCCCACCACCAGCACATGCTCCTTCCCCTTTAGAGGCTTTGAACTCTCCGCAGGCGGTTCAGGACCTGTCACCAGCAATAGGCAAAGGAACTGGAGCTGAATGAGAGGGAAAGGATCTTGGCTTTGGGCACTGAAGGTGACAGTGTCCCAGCCCCATGGCCTGCTTTAAACCTCAGGACAGCCATCAGCCCCCTACACCCCACACCCCCATCCCAGTAGATAAACTCCAAGTTCTTAGGGTGTCCTACCGGTCCTCCCCCATATACCTCTCCAAGCTCCCTCTCCTCTGTACCCCTCCCCCAACCCGCAGACCCCCTGCCTTCGTTAACTGGATTTGAACTCGACTACTGGACAAGTGTCCCTGACGCTGGCGATTGCACAACAGACAGGAGGCAACTTGCCGTTTTCGTGTTATTTAACAGGAGTTACAGACTTGTGGAGGCTAGAGGGAGCACCATAATCTCCTCAGCTCTCTGGGTCTCCAACCGGCTTAGGTCTGGCTCTGCCCCATACCCAGGCGGATGTTGGGGGGCCCCCTCTTGTGACCCAGCCCGCAGCTCACCTTCCTCGGACTTTAAACTGAGTACCAGTCACTTAACTCCCTTTTATCCCTCACAGGTGTACAGTCGTTGAGGGTGGAGCGCAGGTCGTGGCCACTCCAGGCCTGCCGAGCCCGGGGCACGCAGGAGGCCCAACAACTACTCCTAAAGAAAAGTGAACATAGTTAGGGTCCGGCTGCGCCACGCTCTCCTGCACGACCTTGCACATCCTGATCTCTCTAAGCCTCGGGGTCACAAGGAGTCGTACCCCTGTCCTGACCGCCTCCCGAGGGACGACATGTTCAATTTAATTGCTTGGCACAGGTCAGCGCTGTCACCTCCTTTCTGCAAGGCGGGGGTTCCTAGTGGCTCTTAGGAAATGGAGCCCAGACCTTTGAAATGCGAGGAGGGTGAGCGCGCAGATGTGGCCCTGGGCACACCAGACTCCCGCCCCTATCCCACCGGCCCCTCCCCGCTCCCCAGCTGCCCCCTCCACCCCCATCCGGACGCCCCGCCCGCCCGTCCAGCTCCCCTCCCACCCCGAGCGGGAGGCGCCCCGCGGAGCCCGGCCGGCACCCGGTGTGTGGCGCGCCAACATGCAGCCGCGGCTCTGGCTCCTCCTAGCCGCGCAGCTCACAGGTAGGATGGGGAGACCCGCTGGGTACCCGCGGTCCGGCTGGCTTCTGTGCTGGACCCGAGGGGAGCCTTAGGGGGCGGCTAGGAAGGGCTGAGGGGAGAAGATACACGGCCCGGAGCCCGGAGTTTGGGGACACTGGAAAGAAAACACCTCCCAGGGAGCTCGCTCGCCCAGGCACCCCGGGACTGAGGCCACCTCGGCCCAAATCTTGGACCGAGGAGTAGGGGAGGCAGGGAAAGAGGAGGCATGGTGGGCGAGAGGAAGGGAGGGAGGGAAGGGGGCCCAGGGAGGAAGGGAAAAGCCCTTTCCAGGGTTCCTTCAGGGATGTTCCCCCAGGAAGGTGCGGGACTAGTTCTGGCTTTAATACCCCGCACTTGGCCCAGGGTCCTGTGGATACATTTCTATTACTTCCGGGTAAGTCCGCAAACACCAAGGTGTTGCCAATTCTTGGATAGGTATGGCAGAGTACTCCCCCCAGTTCCCTGTGGTTGGGAGGGGTGTGTGGTGTGTGGCTCCAGGAACAAGTGGTGTTGGGGTATAGTGGGGAGTCTAGGCTGGCCCTCTGCCTAAGCCCAGCCAGAGTGCTTTGTGAAAGAAGCCCTTCCACACCCGAAAGTGCCCACTAGCCTGTGGTGGATTGCTCTCTTACTCACAAAGCACAAAGCTGTTGATTCTGTCAGGGATCAAAAGTTCTGCCAAACCAAGACTCACCTGATGAGTTCAACATCTTAAGTAGAAGCTAGTCTAGGCCGCGCAGATCTACTAGATTTATTGGTGATCATTTTAGAAACAGCAGGTCCTTCTGAGAATAGAAACGCTGGGTTGCTGAGAAGATGGAATAAGACTACTGTGTAGCAAGGCCTGCCTCTGGGCCTGCGTCTAGCCAAGGTCCCCCCAACGAGTCACTTCTGGGCTTAGAAGTCTGTATATTTGGCCCCACTTTGTGCACATGAGCACACTGTCATGACTCCACGGGTGAATTCCAAGGCTCAGTCCCTCAATTCAGGGAGTAACTCAAAGATCACTTTCTGGAGTCTTAGACCTAGGTTTGAATCTAGATCCACCACATACAGGCTGTGTGACCTGCAGCATGTCCTTAACCTTCCAGAAACACTGTTGCTGTGTAAAATGGACATGAAATAGTATCCTCCCCCGCCAACCCAGGATTTGGAGAGGATCAAGTGAGATGATGCATAGGGGAAGCTCAGCAGGGCTCCATAAATACTGGCATTTTCAATTCTAATCATCTCTTTCCTAAGTGGTAGGTAAAGATCCTCTCAAAAGTCAGTATAATGTTTGGGGAAAAATAAGCTTTGACACAAGCAAAAGCCCATAGTGGCCTATGAGTGGAGTCAAAAAGTCAAGTTCTTTCTATCAGTGCTAGAGAAGGCCATTGTGGGGCCCAGGAGCCTGAGATACAGGTACAGGCACATGGTGAAAATGGACCTTGACTTCATGAGTTGACTCTTCTTGGAGAAATACACGCACTCCGGCCTCCTGTGCCCATTCAGGTCTGTCCCTCCCTGGGCCTTGCTGCCTCTGAGCCACTGTCCTCATCTGCAAAGTTTCCCTCTGCCACACAGATTCCATCTGCCAGAGCTTTTGTGGCATGGCCGTGAAGGCCGAAATCTAGTCCTCTCCCTAAGAGCTTATTTGCTGCCATAACAACCCCCAATATGTGAGCCCCATGGCCCATGATTTACCCCTGTGGAGTGCTTTAAAGTTTGAGTGTGCTGTCTCGAACATTCTAACCCTCGGAGGCAGGCAGGACACGGCACTAAGCCGCCCTCCTTTTGCAGAGAAGAGAAAGGCTAACCATTTTGCGGTGCCACAACTGTTGTAAGGCAGAGGCTGCGTTCAAGGCCAAGTCTGGGTGCTCAGTTCTAGTTGTCCATGAACAGCTGGTGCTGCCCGCCTAAGACCAAAATGATGCCCTAGCAATCCTGTGGCCAGTTCTCTTTCTGATGGTCTCTACTCCTCTCTTCTCATAGCTCTCCATCAGGTTGCTGGGTCCCTAATAATTCAGACAAGTCAAACAGCCACACTGAAGTGTGACATCAGAGACGCCTCTGCTAACATCCGCATCTACTGGCTGAGACAGCCCCAGGCCCTGAATGCCGCCAGTCGTCTAGAGTTCCTGGCCTCATATGAAGCCTCAAAAAATACTGGGAATGGCCAGAAGTATGAGACAGGAAGCCTGAATATGTCTTGGACTGGGAATTCACACACTCTCACGTTTACAAGTGCGACACCTGCTGACAGTGGTGTCTACTTCTGCATGATGGTCGGGAACCCCGAACTGATCTTTGGGAACAGAATTCAGCTGACTGTGGGTAAGAATCTGGGTTAGTGCCAACCATAAACATTGACCACCGACTATGTGCCCAGCACACAGGGGCACTGGGGAGGTCTCAGTGAGCCCCACTGTGCAGGAGGGGATGACACCCATGAGCTATAGCCCTGTGACTAATGGTTACAATATGTATCAAGAATATAAGCCCTTACCCAGGGCCAAACACATATGAGTGTTCTACAGAATTATCTCACTAATGCTGCCAAGCACCCTGGGAGGTATTATACTAGTGCTATGCTATAATAATATGATTTTATAGTAGAGGGGATACTTAGAAGTGTGGCTGCTCTTGGGAGAGGCAGCTTTGTCCTCCAGCCACAACAGATAGTCCTATGTCAATGGCTGGATGGGCTGAGTACTCAGGCCTGATGGTAACCTCAGGGGTCTCCATTGAGTGTGCACAGGGTAAGAAGGTCCTCAGTTCCTGAACATACACAACGAGAGCATTTCTAGGGCCAGTGGAGGTCAGGTGCCCTCTTATTCTGCATGAATAGAACCCACACCAAGAATTGCAGGGAGTAAGGAGACTCCAAGCCTCCTGCACATCTCCATGTTCGTCAGGTTGCTTCACTCCCTGGCCTCAGTTTTCTCATCTGTCTTATGGGGCTGTTGATGGCCACTAGGACCCTCTCCAGCCCTTACAAACTGCAGTTCCTCATGAATGAGGCAGCAGATCTGGTAAATATATATTGTGAGCCACAAATGCAATTATTTTTTTCTAATGACCACATTAAAAAAAAAAGTTAATTGAAGTAATATATTCTATCAAACCCAATGTATCAATATTATCATTTCAACATGTCAATTTAAAAATTATTACTAAAATATTTTCCATTCCTTTTCCACACTGTTTTATGTCTATTTTACACATACTGCACATCTCGACACAGACTGGCTGTATTTCGCAAGCTCGGTAACACATATGGCAAGTGGCTGCCATTTGGGACAATGAGGATTAAGCTATCAAGGATGCAGAGGACTCATGGGAGAAATTCTCAAAGGCCATACCTGGCATTAGCCATGCTCCCAGGTTAGCCCATGGTCAGAGCCACTGTTGACCCCCTGCAGGCCTCACTCTCCTGCTCCCTGATCACCTGGGTTCTTCTCAGATTGGGACACAGAGAGAGACAGTGGGACTCTCCAGGAATGAGACCACTAAGCATGGTGAGAGGCAAAGACAGCTGGGAATAGCAGTACAATTAGGAAGACAAAACCCAAAATGATAACCTTGTCACTTCTTGTCAGTCTCCCGTCTTAAATCAGGAGGTAGGGGATGCAGGTGGAGGGTAAGATCTTTAGGCAAGAAGCTAAGGCATCCTTGGGGGGCGGGGTAGTAGTCAATTGATTCCTGTACTGAGAATTGGGTTTTGGAGGGTTAGGGTTTCGGTTTGGCTTACTGTTTTTGTATCTAAAAGACCCACATCTTCCCACTCACAAGATTTCAGGGTCCAAGGAAAGTGAATAGTGGTATAAGCAAAACTGGTTTGCAAAAACTCCCCACTTCTGCCACCACCCATTCTCTTCTGGCATTGGTAATTCCAAATGTCTCCCTCTGCACAGCTCCCAGAGCGGCAATCCCTCTCAAAGCTTGTGCTTGCAACCAGATCATCTGTCTCCCCTGAGCCAGGGTACCCACCACAGGAGCCCCCCCTCCTGCCCGAGGCAAGGTCAACACGTTTTAAAGAAGGAAGCCCAGATGATACAGAAAGCATCAGGGAGAGATGGGGCCTTTCCCATTCCCTAAGCCTGGTCTCTAAAGGCCAGCCTTTTTTTAAGGAGAGAAGGGGGAGGTTTTAACTGGGGACCAGGTGATCAGAAAGTAGAACTTAAAGTCTCCACACCATCCGCCATCAGACCCAGGGCCCTGTGCCCAGCTAGGCACTGAGCAGGTTCTCTGGCGGGCTCACCACTGTCCAACTGAAAGCATGAGTGCCTCCCCGTGTATACATGATGGGATGGACAGTTCTCGGGCCGTGAAGATTAAAGGAGATACCAGAAGGCGGTGGCACCACTGGCAGAGGGCCTGGCCCCTCACAGCTCTGGAGCTGGTGTCCTTTGCCCTTTATATGGTTTCCCTCAGCACTCTGATGACCTTGGAGCCTTAGGTCAACCTTTTTTCCTTAATTTTTTGTCAAAAAACATTTGCACCTGAGGCAGTGTGGTGGAATGAGAATCTAGAAATCAGTCTTTGGGCTCAGGCCTCACCTCTACTGTTTACGGCCTCTCCAACTTTGGGCAGCTGAGTGCAGGCTTCCTCAGGGATGAGATGGAAAATAGTTCCTGCCTCAGACGGTCAGTCAGCTTAAGCTGCAGTGCATGGTACAGTCATTAACACATGGCGGAGCTTAGTAAGTGTTGATTCTAGTTAGTTGTTTCTTCCAGAAACCTCATGAAGCAGGCAGAGCAGTCTCCACTTTCTAGGGAGGTTCAGGGTAGTGAGATCTGCGTGTCCACTTTTTATATGGAAGATGCCAGCCTCAAAATGACCGGTTCCTTGGCTAGCCCTCCCTACTCCTCTTGACATGGCAGTTTATTTTTTTTAAAGATTTATTTATTATATAAGAACCGGGGTACAGGCCAGATGTGCGGGCAGGTGAGAGGCTTCACCAGAGACAGTGGGGAACAGAACAGGCAGGCTGACTGAAATACACTGCTGAGGGGAGCAGCGGGTGAGACAGGAGAGGTCTGCTGCGCCATGATATGGCAATTTAAGTTCACAATGTCCCCCTATTCCCTCGCCTCCATTTCACAAAAATCATTTCAGTGAAATGTCTTTCCTCAGCTCACAAAAGCAAGGGTTGCGCTCGGCCACCGCAGCTCACACCTTCTTCAGCCCCTTGGAGCCCCACGTGTCTCTGTTTGCTCCGTGCAATTGTCCCGTTGCCCTGCTCCAGTCTTCCTCATGTGACCCTGAATTAGATCGGAAGAGAAGAGCAACCCCCCAGAAGTCAGGAGAGGGGTTTTGGACGTTGTAGCCCACACTTTCCACTACAGGGTTTCAGGCAGAGCAGTCTCCACTTTGTAGGGAGCTTCAGCCCCACGTTGCTGGCATCCACCTTTGAGATGAAAGGTTGAGACTAGACCAGCGTCTCTCCAGCCTGATAGTATGCCATTTTAAAGATACTTGAAAGGAAAACAAATCCCCAATTATGCTGTTGTACAGTAATGTGCAGAAAAGGGCCCCACCTCCTTTCACTTCGTCCACTCACCCAGGAATTGGCAGGGTGAGCTGAGGAGCCGGCCATGCGAGGGCTCAGGGACTCTGACTTCAGCTCAAGGTCTTTAGCTGGTGGGAGCGACATCTACTACATGCTTTGTTGGGCATGCTGCCCCCTGGAATTCTCACAACGTGGAGAAAGCGGTGGGAATCATTTTTAATTCAGCAGTGTGGAAACTGAAGGACAGAAAAGTGATAGGACTTGCCCCAAGTCATGCAAATAGTTTCTCAGGTTCTGTTTGGGTCTGTGTGGCTCGAAACCCCTCTCTCCAGCACAACAAGCTGACCCCCCTACCTAAGTCCCCAGATAGATCTGAGAATTGGAAAGCAGATCAAAAATTCTAAAGCCCTGTAAGGTGCTGAGGGAATAGTGTTGAGGACTTTCATATCTGAATTCTAAGATGTCCTGCTTTAAGTTTTGTCTCTGTGGGCACCTGCTGCTACCTGGCTCAGGTATGTGTCTCGTTCTCTTTCTGTAGTTGACGTCCTCCCCACCACTGCCCGGCCCACCAAGAAGCCCATAACCAAGAAGATACCATGCAAGCCGCCAAAAATCCAGAAAGGTGAGTTTTCGCTGAACCCTCAGAAAGACAGCAAACACTCCCTTCCTTCCTTTGAAGACATCTGAGAAGGAAAATCTACCTCTCTACCTTTACTCTTTTTTTTATTATTATTATTATAGCAAATCCTCCATGCACATAGTATAGTTCACTCTTTATTTTATTTTATTTTTTTAAAGATTTATTTATTTATTTATTTATTTATTTATTTATGCAACCACTGGGTACAGTCAGAAGTGCAGGAGGGTGAGAGAATTCACCAGAGCGGGAAGCAGAGCAGGCAGAAGGACCGAAGTACACTGCTGAGGGGAGCAGTGGGCAGCAGGAGAGGTCTGCGCGCCATGTGGGACCCTCTTCCAGTGGCCGGGGAGCAGCCGGGGATTGAACCAGCGCTGCAGAAGCTGCGGGCAGCTTCGCAACCCAGTGCTCAACCGCTGCGTCACCGGGGAGGCCCTCTCTACCTTTACTCTTACCCTCCCTCTCTCCCATCCTACTTTTCTTCCTTCCCCAACCCTTTCCCAAGTGTGGATTGTCTAGTCTATTTCTCTGACCCCAAGCTGGGGTCAGAAGGGAAGCTGAGTATCACAGCAACTCTACCCTCACAGTGGGGGACCAACTCATATATCATCACAGGACAAAATTTAATGGAGGATACATTCACCCAAAAAACTTGTGCACAAATGTTGCTAGCAGCCTTATTCTTCATAGCCAAAACGTCAACAAAACTCAAAGTACACTAGTGAATGAATGAATTTACAAAATAGAGACTATCCCTACAATGGAATATTTTTTGCCCATAAGGAGTGAAGTAATGATAGATGCTGTACCACAGATCTTTTATCATTTGTTATTGAGGTATAATTGACAAATAATATTATATTAGTTTCAGGTATACAACATAGTGATTCCATATTTGTATATACCTTGAGTGACCAGTTTAGTGAGTCTAGTCAATATCCATCTATTCACAGTTATAAAATTATTTTTATTATTATTTTATTGTGAGAACTTTTAAGATCTATACTCTGAAGAATTTCCAAATATGCAATACAGTACCATTAATGCTCATCATCATGCTGTACATTATATTCCCCAGGATTTATTCACTTTATAACTGAAAATATGTGCCTTTGACTCCATCCACTTCTCCTACTTCCTGTCTCTGACAACCACTAATCTGTTCTGTGTATCTATGAGCTTGGTTTTTGTTTGTTTGTGTAGATTTGTTTTTTAGATTTTATATATAAATAAGATTATAGTATTTGGTGGGGTTTTTTTTCATTTATTTTACTTAACATAATACCCTTGAAGCAGTCCATCCATGTTGTTGAAAGGCAGGATTTCTTTTGTTTGATGACTGAATTCTATTACACACACACACACACACACACACACATACACACACACATACACACACACACACACCCCTTTATGCAGTCCTCCACCTATGGACACTTAGATTATTTCACATATTTGCTATTACAAATAATGCTGCAGTAAACATGGGGGTGCAGATATCTTTTTGAATTAGTGTTTTCATTTTCTTCAGGTAAATACTAAGTGGATGAATCATATGAGAGTTTTATTCTTAATTTTTTTGAGGAAACTCCAAGCTGTTTCAATGTGAATGAGTATTGAAAATATTAGGCAGTAAAAGAAGCTAGTCACAAAAGATCATATATTGTCTGATCCCATTGATATAAAATGTTCAAAATATAGCATGCCATGGAGACAATGTTGATTAGTGGTTGCCCAAGGTTTGGGGGAAGAACTAGGGAGTCGCTGTTAATGGGTACAGGATTTCTTGGAGGGTGAAATGTTCTTTTTTTTTCCCCTCCCTTTTTTCTTTTTTTTTTTTTAATTAAAGATTTATTTCTTTATTTATACAAGCACTGGGTACAGTCAGAAGCATGGGAGGGCAAGAGAATTCACCAGAGTCAGAGCGGAGAGCAGAACAGGCAGAGTGACAAAGTACACTGCCGAGGGGAGCAGCGGGCGGCAGGAGAGGTCTGCTTGCCATGTGGGACCCTCGCACGGCGGCCAGGAATCGAACTGGTGCTGCAGAGGCTGCCGGCAGCTTCGCAACCCAGCGCTAAACCACTGCGCCACCGGGGAGGCCCGGGGAAATATTCTTAAAGTTAGATTGTGGTGACACTAAATTATGCACTTTAAAGAGGTGATTTTTGCTGTATGTAAATTATATATCAGTAAAGATGTTATGAAAACAAAAACCAAAGCTTTAAATATTTCCAATTTTGATGCTTAACAGGGGAAATAACACACAGTATGCACTTAATATATGTTAGTGAATAAGTGAGCATTGATAATATCAAGGATATTTGTTGAAAGTCAAACACTGGAAACAACCAAAATGTCCATTGGTGCCTAAATAATCCGTGAACCATCCATACTGTCAGATGTTACTCTGTTTGAGAAAAGAATGTGCTGACGAGTTTAAATACAGGGAAAAAATGGTTGGAAAACAATACGTACAGTATAATCCACTTTATGGATTATACTGTAAAAAAAATAATGTGTCTGTATCAATTATATATATGTAAATACAAAGAGATAGTTACCAAATTAATGATGGCAGTTATTTCTGTAGGATGTCAAGGGGCACTCATGTACTTGAACTTTTTGCAATGAAAATATATTCAGCTCTTTCTTGGGACGTTGAAATAAAACTTTAAAGAAAGAGTAAACACCCTGTTAGCAGCTGGAAATGGTCAATCTCCTTTGGATATAAATAGATACTGAGTTTAATGAATTACTTTTAAATTTGAATGTGGGGCATGAAATTTTATATGTAAAATTATCTCAGTGTGTCAGAAATATAGAAAAAAAGACTAGAAGGAAATAGGCAAACCGTGGTATGCTTTGGGAGACAGGGCTTCCAGTTGTATCTTATGTGTCTGCGTGTCTCAAACATTCAATGTGTATCTCTCCCAGGCCCGCCTTGTGGCCCCATCATCCTTGGCCTGCTGGTAGCCGGCTTCCTGATCCTGCTGGTGTCCTTGGGAGTGGCCATACACCAGCACTGTAAGTTGTCCCTTTGGTGCTATCATGCCAATCCTTTTTGCAGTTAAGTGTTTCCCTGAAAGTTCTTCCTTCTCTAGGGGAGTAGTGCAGCCTGGTTGAAGTCTGTCCCCCACCCCCAAAACCTGTGGGGCTTCAGAAGTGTTTCTTGGCCTGAGGTCATGCTGCAGGTCATGCCTGAGAGCACCCTATCTCAGGAGTCTCAATCTAACCCGGTTGCCCCCAATATTGGGTGACCTTGGCTGTGCATCCTGGTCCCTCTGAGGCTCAGCTCAAGGGTAACCGTTACCTATCTCCCAGGGTTGTAGTTTATAAACTCCTGCCCAAAATGGCCCACCCAGGCATTTGCTTAGTGTCTCCACCAGCTGTCAGAATGGAAGCCAGTGCACAGAGAGATTGTGGTAGGGTTTGAGTTTTTTCCCCAGAAGCTAAAACTCCTACCCTGCTGTGAGGCTGTAGGGAAACTCAGAGATGGGATCATCCCCTTCTGTAGGCTTTTCAGGCTCTGCTCTACTGGGTTCATAGTAAAGAGGGGAACCCCTCACAGTTCCGGAGAGCCCCAGGCTCTACCTACCACTGGTACCTCTGTTCACCTGTACCACCTCAAGCAAGAAACTTACCCTGTCTAGGCTTCATTAAAATGGGAGGGAGGGGACCTCTTTGTTATGTCACAGACCCCATTGAAGTGTAATTGCAATTATGGACCCTCTCCCAGGAGCTTTGCATCCTTAGCACATTTTTGCATACAATTACCACCCACAATTGAGTGGCATTTACCCCATTAATATTCGGTGGTCTGCAAACTTTTTTTTTAAGAATTGTTCCTTTGGATCCCTGGCCAGGGAGTTAACCCACAAGGCAAACCTCTCCTGTCTCCCCTGCTGCTCCCCTCAGCAGTGTATTTCAGTCAGTCTGCCTGTTCTGCTCCCCACTCTGTCTCTGGTGAATCCTCTCACCTCCCCGCACCTCTGGCCTACAACCCAGCTCTTGTATGCAAAAATAAATAAATCTTTTTTTTTAAAAAAAAGAATTATTCCTTTACAAGATTTTTATTATTTTTTTAAATTTATTTTTGCGTAGGAGAACTGGGATGTAGACCAGAAGTGGGGGTGAGAGGGTTCACCAGAGAGTAGCAGAACAGGCAGATCCACTGAAATACACTGCCAAGGGGAGCAGCGTATGAGACAAGAGAGGTCTGCTGTGCTATATGTGGTTTAGCTCCCTGGTTGGGATCCAACTCAGGCTGCTTTGCTGCAAGAGGGCCATCTCGGTGGTAGCACAGAGACACAGCCCCTAAGCCACCTGGGAGGTCTTCTGCAAACTTTTTTGATCAAGAACTTCACTGGCAAAACATTTTTAAATTATAAACACTAACTGTGACTACTTGTACTTATTTATTTAACATAATATGTATTATTCACATAATATGCAAGCCATTAAAATGACTTAAAAATAAAATGTAATAAAGAATGAGATAAACATGAAATTAGACATGCTCATATTTCTTTCCTACATCACAGTGGGAAATCTTGTGCATTCCGGAATACTCATACTCTAGTTTAAGGCCACCTCTCTGTACAATCTCTCATTCCTGACGTGCTGGGAAGGACAGGACAACTTGTTTAAGGACAGCAGACTAGGGTAGATTAACTGAGTTTAATCCTGGCTTTACTACTTATTAACTGCTTGACTTTGGGCAAGTTATGGTTAACTCACATTCTGCCTCAGTTTCCCCAGATACAAAATTAAAATAATAGGAGTGATACTCAACTCTAGGTCTGCTATGAATATCAAAGGAATTAAATAAATTGTGTGAAGTGTTTGGAGCAGAGCCAGAGACCTGGGAAGTGGTCTGAGGTGTTAACTGTCCTCATTACCTTCCTCTATTTCTTGGGTTTGGTGTCAGTGACCCACAGCCTATGCCAACTGGTATTTTTATTTTCTTCCTCCAGGCCGGAGGAGGAGAGCCCGGCTTCGTTACATAAAACAGTAAGTGCTAGCACTCATTTATGTTGATTTCAAATACGGTGAATTTAGCTCTCAGCTATCCTGATGGTAATAATCTACTCTTATATGAATAGAATATGGCAGGATATCTAAACTGTCCTGCCCATCACTTCATTGGACTTGGGCTTGTGAGACATAGGTTTATTTTTACAGATAACTTGAAAGATTTGCTCACAGTAAAGAGAATCCAACTGGAGACAATTCAGTTCACCCCGAGGTCACATCCTCCATCAACTGTCCTTTCCTTCCTGCTGGTGTTGGCTATGGGATGTCTTGCTCTCATCTTCCACCCTGGACCCTCATCTGGTCCAGGAATTGGCAAACCCACAAAATCACATAAATGCAGTGGCTAAAAAGTACTTGCCCTTTAAATCTACTGATGGGGTAAGCCCACGTAGAGCCAAGAAGCTGTAAGAGGCCAGAGCTGCTCCCCTACCCCGAGGCCCCCAATGTGCCATGGCCTGTTTTCTTGGATTGTTTTTTTCTTCCTCAAAATAGAGACTGTGTTGCATATACCTATCCCTTCCACGTAGAGGTGTTTGGGAAAAAAGAAAGTCCAGACCTCTAGAATGAAGAGGCATCAGGATCCTGCTCTCCAGAGCAGCTCTGGCTCTGGCATGGAGCAGATCTGGGTTTGAACCCTACCTGTCCCTCACCAGCCATGTGACTGTAGGCAAGTCACTTCATCTCTGTGGGCCTCTGCTCCCTCTGGTGTATAATGGAACAGTAGTAACAACCTCATGGCTATTGTGCAGACTTCCTAGGCTAATCCCCTAAAATGTTCTCCCTCTGATCCAATAGAGTTGAAGCACAGTTCATGTAACATAAGAACGTCAACTCTATAAATGCAACAACAAAGGAACAAAATGCATTTCTAAATCTTGAAAATTGTCATTTCCATATCAAGTCTCTATGTGTTCTGCATTAGATAATTGCTGACACACACCTGCTGTATTTTATGCAGTTTTCAATAATTTTGCTGATGTGCAATTTCCACCTTGTGTGTTGGATTTGGAAACTACCCTTTATCTATGAAGCAGCAACTTGAATATATTTATCATCTAAGCCTAGACCTCCAGAATGTTCCATTCAAAATCTTCCCTATGGTGACATTTTATAGAGAATGAGACCCTTTGGTGTGCCATGTGTGGTTCTGTTCCCTACATGCCCGTGTTCCCCAGTAATTTGATGCCAGTTTTGAAGGAACTTGATACAGTACTTTATGTTTTGGCAATCCCAGGGGTTCTGAGAATCACCTGAAATGAGGAAGTGCTGGGGGTGCTCATGAGTAGGCCCTCTTCATTCCTAACTGCTCCACGTTCATCTATTACATTTTACCTGTAAGATACCACTTGAACAGAAGGATTTGTGGCTGAAAAAATTTCATTTGAAAACTATGTCTGCTTTTGTGATGGTGATCCAGGTGTGGATGAAATAGTCCACGGCCTCACAAATCTGCTGTCCCCAGCCTCTAACTGACCTTAGAAAATAATCCCATCAGCCTGCCATCTTCTCGCCCTTCAATGTGCATTTTTGAAGAGTTTAGAAGGCACTGCAGGAAGTAACACTATTCAAAGCTAGAGTTCTTTGGACTGTTTTTTGGTTTGTTTTTTTTGGGGGGTGGGGGGAGGCAGGTGTTCATTTTTTTTTTTTTTAAGTAACTAAGATGGGTCCTAAAATCATACTAACCCAGAACTGTTGGTCCCAGGTTACTGGGAGTGTCATCCTGCACCCTCATCTGTCATTTGTCTCTATTACAGAAAATTCAATATAATTTGCCTGAAAATAAGTGGTTTTATAACTTTCTGTTGTTTCCAGGTTTTGTAAATGAGCAAAGACTGTGTTTTTGGTGTCTTGCTACAAAAAAGCGTTGGTCAGTGTTATGAAAGTGATCTGGAAAAATGAGAGATGGGATATATTCAACCATGGAAATTCCATTGATCTGCTGAAACTGCCTGCTTTTAACTACTGCACAGTTCTTTCTGTGGGCCTTCTACATGGGAGGAACTTTTTAGTTGATCACCCGGAATCTCAGAGAGAAAGTCTCAGAACCTCAGAGCACTTCCTACAAGAAATGCTGCCCGTGACACCACTTCCGGCTCCTGTACTCACCCCAGGCCAGGCAGGGGCTTTTTGGTGGTGGCTGTCCGGCTCACATCTTACAAGTTGCTTTGTCTCAGTAGGACAGTATCCTTGAGTCCTGAACCCCTCAGGGGATGGTGCTAGGTGGCTTCCCCCTCCCCACCTCCATCTCCCCAGGATGGGGTTAGTGCGCACCAAGAGCCTATTTAAGAGACACCCCAGTTGGGAATCAGGCTTCTGAAGAGGGGTTGACCAGCTCCCACAGTCATTTCAGTCTGTGAGCACCTCCTGTGGGACCCAGAACCAGTGGTTTTTGGAACAAGAGGTCACTTCATCTCCCATTAACATTCTGGGCTTCTCGTCTGCCTTCCCATGGCTTGTATATTTCTTCTCTCACTTTCTGTTCTTTTTGTGAAACTGCCTTGGTTGTAAAAATAAAGTCCTGAGTAAAAGAGACAATGGCTCCTGTGATGCGAAAGCATGAAAACCTGTCTCTATAGCAGAGACACTTATGCTCAGTTGAAAAGAAATACAAGGATAACATGCATATGTCTTCATTTTGTGTCCAAGTTCATCATTTGCCCCAAAACATGCCGTCCATGTTGTGTGTAGTGAAGGCCTGAGGAGGATGGGGAGCTCCAGGGTACCCAGAACCTGGCAGTAGTACCTCAGAGGTCTAACTCCTCTGGACCACTCCTGAGCTGTCTTCTCTCACACCCATTCATCTTTATTGAGGATGGAACCCAGGATTCCTGACTTCAAGGCTGATGACCTGATGAAGAGGCAGTGAGAAGCATCCTGGTCTATAACATGGCCCATTAATTTTTTTTTTCTTTTTTTTACTGTCGCTCAGCTTTGATGGTCAGAGAAGGAAAAAGCAAGGAGAAAATGCTGAGCTGGAGAGGAAAATTAAGATGAATGTTTGGTATCTTTTAAAAAAGCCCCTAGATCTTTCTTAGCTTCCCATCCTGGGCTTTAGCGGCATAGGAGCTAAGAGCCAAAGGAGAATGCCCCTTTAGGCTGCATTACAGAAGCAAGATGCCCAGCTCAAAGGAGAATAAAGTCCCACCTGCTTTTCCTGACCAGTTCAGGGCTGGGAAGCACAATTTGGTGAGACATTGGCAAACAGGTTCTATTCAGAGGCTTCTGGTAGGCACCAATGGTGTAGTGGGTAGGACTTGGACAGATGTAGATGCAGTAGGTACTCAAGAGAAGTAAACATTTTCTGCCATCAACTTACAAGGACAACAGGACAAATTGCCTCCCAAGGCTGAGGGAAGAGAGGAAAGACCCAAAATAGCCTGTACTAGACTCCTCTGGGGTTCTCTTTTAAGGTGGACTCCTTGCTCTGAGTACCCCATGTACGTGATAAGAAACCAAGGCCCTTACTGAAGGCTCACACTCCGTCCGCAACGGAAGTAAGAACAGGCCTCAAGGCCCCTCATCCCACTACAGGTCTGCTATTTACCAGCATCTCCCCGCTGCTGTTGTTGAGAGTGTGTTTTGTTATTTGCAAGTTCTCATGGGGTGAGATTGGGGGGCTGGGGAGTATGCTCCTCGGCCTGTTTTCTGGGTAATGCGCACCTGCCAAGGCAGGCTCTGCATGGCCTGCCCAGGGAGCAGGAGCAGGCTTGGCTGCCAGCCATGGGGGCTGCGGTGAGGAGGTCTGCACCAAGCACCTGACTTTTGTTTTGAAGAAGAAACTGAGTTGTTACTTCTTTCTAGGGGGCCATTATGGAAAAAAAAAAATACTAATTTAAAAAAATTTTAATCTACTTGTCTTTTGACTAGCAATTCCACTCATAGGCACTTGTCTTAAAGAAACACATCCTAAAGAACATGCGTAAAGAAATACATATCAGAGTATTCCTTTTAGTGCTGCTAGTTAGCCAAAAATTGGAAATAGTCCAAATGTCTATCAAGAGAAGTCAGATCAACTGTAATACAGCCTTATAAGGAAGTTCGTGCAGCTGTTAAGGAGTAAGTTAGGTCCATAAATGCTAGCATCAAATGATGGCAACTACACCTGCACACATTTTAACAACACCTGTATTGACTATCCTCATTTTAAATGCAATATATCGTCAATGTTAAAATTCAAGCAAGATGAAACCAGGCCAAATAAATATACATTAGATGTCAGGATGTGATCATCTAGAAGGGAGCACAAGGTTTTGGGGTGTATTCTGTCTGTCCATCAGGGAGCTGGTTACTTTGTGAAAAGTCATTGTGAAAAGTATGCTCACAATATGTCAATTTTCATATGTAGATATGGACATAGACCCAGATTATACTTCAGTAAAGAGTTTTGGTTTTTTTTTTAAGATTTATTTATTTATACACGCACTGGACACAGTCAGAAGCGTGGGAGGGTGAGAGAATCCACCAGAGCCAGAGTGGGGAACAGAACAGGCAGACCAACAAAGTACACTGCTGAGGGGGCAGTGGGTGGCAGGAGAGGTCTGTGCGCCATGTGGGACCCTCACCTAGTGGCGGGGATCAAACTGGCGCTGCAGAGGCTGCGGGCAGCCTCGCAACCCAGCGCTCAACCGCTGTGCCACTGGGGAGGCCCAGTAAAGAGATATTTTAAAGACCCAAATATAGAACATTATAGAAATGTCTAAAATAGATATTTGATAATTTCCTGTTTGTCCAGATTTTTTCTGCATGTACTTTTTAAAGCAGAAAATCAAAGTATTATAATATAAATAATACACAAAATACAGAATATAAAAAATTGAATCCTATTCTTCAAGTTTGACTTTTTTTCCCCTCTAGTAATAGATCAAAGCTTCTGGGCATGCTCGTTTGTACATGCCTAGAAAAGATCTGGAAGGATATATTGTTAATAGCAGCTCCTCTAGGAATTTCCATTTCCACTTTGTGTATTTCCGTGTTGTGTGAATTTTCACAACAAACATGTTACTTTTGTAATTGGAGGGAAAAAAACAAAAGTGTAGAAAGAAGAAACAGTCTCCTTTCAAAGAGGCTCTAGTGGTGCAATATTAAATGAGGGAATCTACTCAAATATTCATCTGCAAGAGATTTATTTATAAATTCTGATCTTAAAAATTTGTACAGTGGGAATCATTGTGGCACAAGCTGAGGGTGCGGGACAGCAGCTGTGTGACCTTGACCTCTTCACACCTGGCTTCCCTTCTCTGAAATGGGGGCATCACTAGTATCGCCCTCTGCGTCATGGGTATTGAATGACCACAGAGAGGAGGGTTTGGGAGCAGTGCGGGTTGCCTCCCTCCCTCCTCTCTTCGAGAAGCAAGGGCAGAGAATTCTACCAGTTTGCAGGTGTGGCCTCAGCAGCACCTAGTTCAAAGGAGAAAGGGGGCTTCTACACCACCCCCTTCCTTTCATCCTTACTCATCCCCACCCCCGCCCAGCCGCTGTGTCTCTACCTGTAGGAAGTGGGCAACTTGTTTTCAGAAAGTGATCCCCGACCCCTGTGGGCTGCAAAGCCCATCCGAATCTGTCACCCATTCAAAGGGAAAGAGCCCTGTCTTCAGAGGTTTCTCCAGGGGTCGAGGACCAGACAGAGTTCCTCTGTCGCCTCTTAGGAAACCTCCCCAGGTACGTCACCGACTCTCCTCAGTGACCATGAGTCACTCTTCCTAGAGTCCTCCAGCCACATAACTCAGTGTGTTGACTCAGCCAGAAGGGAACCCTGCTCCCCACCACTGCCTCAGTTTGGGAGTCACAGAAACAGGCAGACACCTGTGCTTCAAGCTGAACGCATCAGTGCTACAAAGGAACTTCTGTTCCTGCAAGGTCTCCTTGCTATCTGGGAGAGGTTTCTTTCTCCATTAATTTGCTGACATTTATATGCAAATCCCCTTCTGCCTGTGTTACCAAGAGCTTAGCTCAGGCTTCTAAATTTGAAAGACACCATCAACATCATCTACACTTTGTGTGCGTTTTCAGTTGTACAAATCTGTTCTGTCCCTCTTTTTTTTTTTAAGATTTTATTTTATTTATACAAGAACCAGGGTACAGGCCAGAGGTGAGGAAGGGTAAGAGGATTCACCAGAGACAGAGTGGGGAACAGAACAGGCAGAATGACTGAAATACACTGCTGAGGGGAGCAGCAGGTGAGACAGGAGAGGTCTGCTGCGCCATGTGGGTATCTCTGTGGCCGATGGGGATCGAACCAGCACTGCAGAGGCTGCGGACAGCTCCACAGTGCTGCGCTCAACCGCCTGCGCCACCAGGGAGGCCCTGTTCTGTCCCTCTTTATGAGGGCAAATTAGCCTGCCCATCTGCAGTTATTGTTCCTGTTCCTTACGTTTCTTGCTGCCAGTTCAAATATATTTTGAGATACCTCCTATGTGCCTGAACAGCCCTGTGCTGGGATTACGGGTGGTGGGACAGAGAGCCTGCCCTCCAGGCTGCATGGTCTGGTGCATGAACTTAAAGAGACTTCTAGGCCTCAGTTCTCTCATTGGGGGAGAGAGGGCGAGAGGGCCCAATACATCTGGAAGCCTCTACTCCTATCCTGCCTGCCACTGTGTGAATGGCTGGCATTGCCAAGCCACAGGGCCAGAATCAAAATTAATACACCAACAAAGCAGAAAGGCTCCCCAGGACAGTGAGCTGGGAGTGCTGCCCACCCTCAATGCTGGTTCCCCCACCCACCCCTTTTGGGATCTTCAAAGCTGTAAAGACTTGACTTCTCCACTTCTGAAACTTCACTTCTGAAAGTTTACTCTGCCATGTACTGTCGTTGAGTTCCTGGGAGAACACCACAAATTATCTGAGCACTGAACATGCTTTTGGCACTGGTGCGTGTTCAACGTAGACTGTCCTTTACCCCTTGGGCAGCGCTTGAGAGACTGCAACGAGTAAGTACCCTTATTGCCTCCCTCCCTCACCCCAGTGCCAGCTTTGGACAGACAACAAGGCAGTGAGCAGATAAATACCCAGATTTTTAACACAGGCAGAAAGCACGAATTGCCTCCTCACAAAAAATTGTGTTCAGCTGACAGAAGAGTTTTTCACAGAAGATTTTGTGGAGGTCTATGCGGTTGGGTGGGGGCAATGTTAAGAGGGGAAGATTTGAAGTGTTGGTGGGAAGGCGGAGGCCCACCCTCCCCTCCCCTTCCTTAGGGCCCCTTTAGTATCCTGTAGGCTGAAAAGTGGCTGCTTGGCTACACCTCTGGCTGGGGAGGACCAGGGCAGCCGAAAGGCAGGCAATGACTCCTGTTCCTCCACCCTCACCCCACTCCAGGCCTCAGCCAAGTCTGGGGGGCCCTGGGGAGAAGAGAGCACAGAATATGGGACTGACTTGAGATCACAAGCCTCTGGGTGGGCAAGAGAAGGTAGCCTGGTCTGAGTTGTCCCTTCCTTCTGTTGCATCATCTTCCCCACAGCCATGTTGAAACTTCGCCAGGACTTTGTGCAAGTCCTTGCCTGGGTCCTGCTCAAAGTCGTCTGTCTAGACCCTGAAGGGTAAAGGAGGGGAGATAAAGGCTTGCCAGGGTTTAG